TTCCTTGTTAGCAAAAGTAGTATCAAATAATTTTTTCATATAAGTGCTAGCTTCTTTTCATAGATAGGCTATGATGACTTCATCTTTTTTCGGATCATCACATAGGTTTTTGATATACCCCCTAATCCATTTTTCAGCCAATTTCTGCACTAAGGCATCTCTTATTTTTGATACCTCATCTTCATCCATTTCGTCTTCATCCTCTTCGTCTTCGTCCAGGTCATCTTCATCCACCCCACTATTATCCACTTTACTGTCACCTGTTTTATTACTATCTTTTAACTTTTTTAAAGCTTCTAGCACAATTTCAGATGATGGCTGATATCTTTCATCATAGTTAATAAATCGTGTATAGAGGCCGACAACAGTTTTCAAATAATAGCTAACATCGATCTTTTTACCTAATCGCCTCACTACCTCTAGAAACTCCATTTTATTCTCTACCTTCTGTGATGAATCATTCTCAACTACAATATACTTAAAGCGTTCGGCCGGTTCTGGGATTTCATAAAGATAAGGCTCGGGTGTTAGGCCCTTTTTTATACGCCATTTGGCATCCGCTTCTTCACGGGTATGTCTATCTCGCATTTATGAAATGAAGCACTATACACTCTTGTTATTTTTATCAGACTTCCACACAGCAGTTTTAATTATTTCATTAAGATCTATTTGTGAAATACCATTTACTATTTCCATAAGTACACACTCCACAATCTGATGCAAGGTACGTGTATTATTTACCCTGGTAGATTCTTTCATAATATGTTTTCCTATTTTACAGAAAAGACTAGACTGCCCCGTTTTATAGTCTCAACTCCCCAAATGAAAAGTTTGTTATTAAAGTTCGGCTTACTTATATGTGGAATGCCGAAGTATTTTTTCTTTCCAGTAAATGCTACTGGAAATAAAACTTTCTCATATGCTATTTTAAGATAAGGTGATCTGTTATCTTTTCTGAGGAAGCCATTAACTTCATCGCAAAGCTTTTCTATTTCTTCCATAGATATTTTTACCATACATCTGTGTGAGAACATGGAATCACTTTGATCGCTACAATGTATTAAAAGCAGTTCACGAAGTTGGTATTTGTACTGCTTCCGATGATCTAACTCCCAAATATTATTATCAGAAAGTGGCCCGTGAAAAAAGATTACCTCTTTCAAGCTGAGTGGTATTAAGCAACTATTTATATATATCATCGGTAAATGTTTATCTCTTCCGAGCATCTGTGAATAATTACAACCCAATAAATGAAAATGATTATAATGACCCTTTAATTTCCTCTGCACTTTCACAGGATCGAACTCTTGTTCTCATGTGGGACATAGAGATATATAGTTCACTTGAACTAGGCAAATTTCCTACCGCACAGAGTGATGAATCTAACGTATTTATGATCTGCATGTTAGTTCACTGGAAAAACGACCCTAATCCATTAAAACAAATTTGTCTTGTCGATGTTGAGATAGCACCAAACCCACGCTGGACCACAATTATATGTAGGAATCAAAAAAATCTGTTAAAAGCCTTCACATTGTGTTAGAAACTTTTAGCCCCAGATATATAAATAGGTTTTAACGATTCACAATATAACTGGCTATTTATTGTAGAGAAAGCGAAAAAGTTAGGAGTTCTTGAATGGATGTTCAATCATATGTTATTCAAACTATCCAGCATCGAAAAAATTGCAAAATAGCAATATTAATATAATGCGATTAAGATTAATGATAAAGATTTTCATTCAAAGCATCTTAAAATTCTCGGATACGTAGCTATCAATGTCCGGCCCTGTTTAATGAAATTTTATCCTAAAGGCAGAAAAAGTAGTCTAGCACACTACTTAAAAGAGTGTAACCTTGATAACAAAGTGGATATGCCTTTCCACCACATGTTTAAGTATTATGAACAGGCATTAAAAGGAGCAGATACCACAACTATCA